TGAACCTTACCCAAACTTTCAAACAACTTAGAAAACTGAACGAAAAGAGACTGAGGTATATTAACCATACTGACGTTTCAGAACAGCATTTACAGTATTAAACTATACCTAAATCACTTAATCTATATCCACCAGTTACCATAGGGGCCAGTGACCAACTATTTTGTTTACAATGGAAGAAAATCCTCCATTCCACCTCAGTTGCAGTTATGAAGCTCACACAAGACTTCTGCAAATCCACAGTAGCCGATCTTGATAAGAACATTTCCATTGTAACTTCAGAGAACACAATTTCTGCTATTGAACAAAATAAACTTGATGTTAACAAAACAAAAAACACTCTTTGTTCTCCTGAAGAAGAATAGTCATCTATTCGAAAGTGCTCGATTATTTTAAGCCTATTACACTATATGTGATCATTTGTGCTAACTCTTTTATCAAAAAAGAATTATTTGTAATTTAGTGTTTTTGCATGCAAAATGTTCAAGATAAGGGCGTATCTGTGGTGAGTAATGTATTTTAAAATCAGTCTTCTCTAATTAAAAAATAGATCCATCTCTGATTGATAAAAACAGTTTGCTTTTTCTCATCCAACCATCCTTCAGTCTAGTTGACTAATCTTTCTACATCTCCTACAGATGTGGTTTTCTTAACTAATTTTTTTTGTGGCAGGCAACTTATCAAAAACTTGTTAAAAATCTAGGTACACCCAAGTTCACAACTTTTTCTGCAATATTTAAGAAAATTACAGTAAGTTCATATGTTATTATGGTCTTGACCAACATTGCATTAGGAGGAATAAGATATGTTACTAAGTTGTTACTACTTCTTGATGAAGCTGTTTTACTAAAATACAGCAGAGAACAATTAGAAATATATACAAAATTCAATCTATTATTCAATTCATCAAATGTCACTGAGTTTTACTGGTTTAAGGGAATTCCACCCTCATGAGTAACCTGGTACTGGTTTCCTATAGTTAGTAAAAAGAAATAATCAAATCTGATCTAGAAATAACTGTGGCAGAAGATGTTGAAAGCCACATGTATGGGTTAAAGACTTTATTTCCACCCTAACGTATTGTCAACTGAACTGAAAGATTATGCTCCGTAAGTAAGGCATCATGCACACTTCTGTTTTGTATGTGTTAAGGTATAAAGTTTAGTCTAGGTGTGGGTATTAACATGCACAGTTTCATTTGTTTTTACCTTTTTCTCATGGTATCGTATTAAATTATAGTATTATATCACATTTATTTCAGACTGAAAGCCTATACAAGATGAACCTCAGCATTGCAGATATTTGTGAAAATACTAAGATGGGTCGAGAGTTTGCCCTTCTAGGGAATTATGAAACAGCACTAGTGTACTATCAGGGAGTTGTCCAGCAGATTCATAGACTTCTTCAAACAATCAATGATCCAATAAGAAAAGAACGATGGCAACAGGTAAAAGAATCTTTTGCACTGTTTTATAAAGGAAAAACTCAGAAAAGAAGACACATTATTTCCATATCAAGGCTTGTTTTGGTACAAGTAAAGCAGTAAATGTTCATTAAGTAAAATATTATTGGAAAAACATAATTGTGGTGTGAAGATTTTAGACCTTTGTAATGTATATTATTTCAATGCACATATTTAATCAAATGACTTATTGTAAACGGTGAAGACTGTTTACCCTTGTATGCAGATATTCATTTTAAAAGTAAACGTTTTGATCTAAAATAGTGACTATATATCATTATTGTAGTAAAAGTGGTTTTTTTTTTAATGTAGTTAATTTTTCTTATTTTCAGAGAAATAATAATGATTATATATATATGCACATTTTTAAGTACTTTGTTTTTCTAAATGTCTGAAAATTCGATTTTATACTTTCATAATTTTATCTGAGTTTTCACTGTGAAGTTCTCTGTACCAACTGTTAAAAGACTTAAATGTTGTTTCATTGATGTGATTGAACATATTAGTTACTACTTTGCTAGTTGAAACATAAAAGGTTTTTTTTTTCTTTTATAGATCCAACAACAGATTGCCCAGGAATATGAACAGGTAAAGGACATTCAGAACATTTTAAATGGATTTAAGTCTGATAGTCATTGTGATCGACCTATAAATACACGAATGACATATGATGAAGTTCCATGTGACCCTGACATCTGGCCTCCTCCATCAGCACGAGACCCTGATATCTGGCCTCCACCAACTCCCATTGAACACAAGTAAGTTGATGACTGATATACTAAACCATAACTTAATATTACTTTTCATCAATTTTTGAAATCTTAACTGTGTCAGAGGAGACAGATTTGACTACTTCAACTCTCATGTTAAACTATTCTCAAAAAATAAATTTCTCTAAGGTATTTATGTAGACAATTAAATGTGCTGTAATTTTCATCTGAGAACATTTCATTTCTCAAATTGTATTCTTTTACCTGGATTAGACTTGTAGCTATTTTTAGGGATTATTTACAAGTTTGTTAAGAAGTTTGAATTGAATCTTAGAAAATTACTACAAAAATATTAGGCTTGGCTTGTAGATTTTATCTTTTATATTGGACTGAGTAGTCATAAGATGATTATATAATATTATGGAGCTACTGACTTGGGTGAAATAATTTTATTCCACAATTAACAGAATCTTGTGGTTTTCTTTTACTTTTTCATCACTGTCCTAGTCTACACGAGACTTTTAAATCTTTGTTTATTTTAGGCCTGGCCCACCAGTACGGCAACCACGTGTGGGTAGAAGAAGTGAAGCAACAAAGACATCTAATGTTTCACGTGGCAGCAACAGCAATAAAACTGGAGGAGAAAAAGTATCTAAGAGAGTGGAGAGTAGAAATGCAAAACGAGAGGAAAAGTCTAAAAAAGAAAGTAAAAAAGAAGAAGCTAAGGAAGAAACAAAAGAGGACAAGGTCAAACCAATTTTAAATTGTTCTTGTCCACTTGATTTTTAAAATAATTAAGAGAAACAATGACTCAAATATACAACATTTAGAAACTTTACTGTTAATTTTATTGAAAGTTTATTTGGAATAATAATTAACAGTTTCTAATTTTTACATTGTCTACAAAAAAAAATAACTGATTTAGACTTATTCCATAATTTTTAGTTGAGAAAGGTTAATAAGTTAATTTTCTGAAGAATCAAATAAAATTCTCAACCCTAATTTTAGCAACATACTGAGTTTAATGTCAAAATGAGTAAGTCTTCCTTTCAATAAACTTTAGATAACTTTTCATGAAAATGTGTTATGTTTCTGTATTTGATATGCATATATAAAGATAAAAAATTCTATAAGAAAATATGTTTATCTTCTTACAGGAAAAAGATGAAAAAAAGTTTGATTCAACTGGATATGACAAGGATCTGGTGGAAATGTTGGAACGGGATATCCTTCAGAAGCATCCTAATGTTCGTTGGGATGACATAGCAGACTTAGAAGAGGCTAAGAGATTATTAGAAGAAGCTGTTGTTTTGCCTATGTGGATGCCAGATTTTTTTAAAGGAATCCGAAGGCCATGGAAGGTACTGTTTAGAATATTCTATGGAGATGCACTGTAACAATCTAACTGAAAAAAAAAATTCTGATACATTCAAATATGGATTGTAATCATATCTGTAATATGGTATGCTTTATATAAAATAAAGTTTTTATTATTAGCTGAAACTCACTGATCTTGCTTTACAGTAATATACCTCAAGCAATGAATTTCTAAATTTTTCATTAATTATTAAACACAGTCACCATATTTATTAATCACTTTGATAGTTAGCTGTTCTGTCTAAGGCAGGACTTGGTGACCCCAAAACTATAAATTTAGCACTAAATCACTGGTGATACTACTTAGTAGATCAGAAACATGCATCATTGTTAATGCATTGGTATTCATTGTAAGTGCATTAAAAGTTGAATAATTAACTTGTAGAGGGTATTTGAATGATTATTATTAATATTTTTCTTATGTTTTGGTCAGTTTGCTGGGGGAAAAAGGTCTTCAAATTTTCTAAGGATTGATCTTATTAAGGTCTTAAATATGGTCACTTAACAGCTTTGGTAACCATGTCCTGTGTAATAATGAAGTAAGATCTGACAGGTGTTTTAGAGATAGCTTTGGGTTTTTCTATAGTAAGTAAGCAAGTGTGATACTAAAAAAAGATATTCCAAAACATACGTATCTCCACTGACACTAATAGCTATTTCTCGATCTTATTTTTGCCATCTAACGTTGTGTTCACTTGCTCCAGTCTTTATATACCCCACATGACTGCCCTCAGCACTATCTAATTTGCAAAACTTTATGCTGGCCCTCACATGCAGGTACTAGTATATAAGTACTGTATGCAGACAATAAAATCACTTTTTCTGAACAAAGCACGAGCATTCAGACTAACGTTTTGTGATTTACATTTTCTTAGTTTTCGATCACCTCAACACTTTGACGACGAACTGGGTCATTTACTGGTCACTATTTGACACATTTGTCCTCTTCAGGACTTGCCTTGGTGTCGTAGTTGGTCCATTGCTGGGACTTGTTGAGTCGTGATGCATTTTTGAAGGGTATTCACTTACCTTCTTCTGCCCTTCGAGATTTATGGGAAGCACCTTTTCTTTGGCCTTATTTATTTGCTGGAATTCCAGAATCTTTAGAAGCCAGAGTTGATACAGGACATTTGCAGTCTTTATCATCTTTGGCTGCTCGACCCTATTTTACTTCCACTTGTACTTCTGCATGTTCATCCCCTCATGTCTCAAGGCCCCCTCCTTCCACTCCTCGTTCCATTGGTTCTCTTAATCATTTCTGTCCTTCTTCTTGGGAGATATTTTGCAGGCTGGTATGTGGACTTCTTCCAGCAAGTTCATATCTCATTACCTTACCAATCTGGCAGTTTCCTCTTTGAAGGGACTTAGTTTCCCCCTGTGGCTGTATTGACTACCTCTACTAGATTTTAACATGGTGGTGAGTAACGTGTTATCTGAGTTACAGTTATTGTTCCTATCTCTTCTCAGGTCCCTATTGATTTTTTTTTGGACAACACTCAATGGCGTGTGTTACCCAGTCGGGTATGCTTGTATTTAAATTCTGTACTAGCAACCTTCATATCGGTTCCTGGTTGGAATGGGCTCTGTCGAGATGAGGTGTTTCATAAGACCTTCTGAATGCAATTCTTGATGGTGATATCATATTCCAATATTTCTAATGGACTGCTACTCATGGACTATCATGAGTAAAGCTAAAGGGGATTTTGCCAGTCCCTGCTGATCTTAGAGGTGAATCAGTTGAGATCAGTTTGCTCCACTGGAGAAGAGGGCAAAGTTGGGGACCGTCCTACCTGGATCCCTGGAAGTTTTTCCTGATGTCGGTAGGAGCAGGACCAACCTATGCGGGAGCCTACTCGTAAAACCATAGCTAAGCGGTGTGGGGGGGGGGGGGTGGCTTGGACCCTCTTATAAACACTGTCAGGTCTTATGTTGTTCATGCAGGGGGTCCACTATCTCCTCATAAATCCGAACATGACGCGGTCCCATCTTTGGTCCTTGTTGGGACAGTGTTCCACATCCTCTTCTTA